TCGTTGTTCATTAATTGTTACGCTTACGCTCACGTGATCAACACGTGGGCGGTATGCAAACAATACTCGAAGTGCTAGTCACGTGGTTTTGAGTAAACCGTCGATCACCCGCGGCACCGGAGGTGTTTTTGTTGATTGATGTGCGTATTTGTCAAGTGCAGAAATATTCACAAGATGGCCGTTGCGACGGAAGGTACCTATGTCCAATTCCTCTTGCTTATTTTCTCACTGCAAAAAAGCAGCAAATGACTGACTGATTAAAAAAACCAGACTAGCCCAAAATAAACAAAACCCAAACCAAAACAAACCAATAAAACAAATTTAAAAGTTTATTGAAGAAAGAACCATATTATATTTTTATTTAAATCCCCATGTGGGTTGTTGCGCTGAATTCATTTGACAATAAAATATTGATTTATTGAAGAAACCTGTGAATAAAGTATAGCTGATAAAATTTACTCGGAGACCACAATTACCTACAATTATACAATTGTCTACTTGTATAAAACCGATCTTCTCAGAATGGATCATTCTCACTAAGATCAACTTCTAAGATCAATATTTAACAAACTTTCAACAAAGTTTGATTCTCCTTAGAGGAAATGCAAGTCTTTTTTCGTAGTGTCTTTTTTGGCAAGCAAATTTAAACTTTTAACATTTAAACTGATTTCACTATAAAGGACATAAATGTGAATTAAAACTGCTTACGCAAGAAGTTTTTGTGATTCCTTTTTTTGTGCAACCATGGTCTGTGGGTACCCAAAGGAAAATTTGGGCCAGTACGAAATTTCGCTGGCTCAAAAATGTGAAATGCCGGTATATAGCTACAATTATTGATTGATTGAAAGTAATAAATTCACACCGCTATATTTCATTTAAAGATGCCGCTTATAATCATACAATCATAAATCAGGACTTGTAATTTAGAAAAATTAAACTCCTATCCTTAAAAAACCTTTTTGCCAATTAATTTTCGGATAATTGCTTTGATTTACCAAATAAGACATTTTATTGAGGCGTTAAAGAGGTCAATCGACAGAATACAAAGTTATCAACAGTAAGAGCATTGTGAGATGTCAGTGCCAATATCAAAACATATTGTAATTCAAAAATTGATTTGAGGTGGCTTTTACTTAACAAGTTAAATTGGAACAAACGACATTCAGATTTACTCAAATTATTTATTGGTGCATGACAGTTGCTTTGGCAACACCGTGCCTTTATCAGATACCTCGTCCTGATAAACCTGAATCAGCTGTAGTGCACCATTAAATAAGAAAACTCATTCTAACGCCGTTTTGTTTGAAATCTATTTCAATAGTTATTTTGATTCACCTATTTCTTTTAGAATTACTATACAATACCAAAATTCTTTGAGTAAAATTGAAAATAACTATCTCGAAAGACGTTTCAACAAATTAAAAACCTCTATAAAACAAAAAGCTCTGGTTGATATAAATATATTTTCCTTGGGACTATTTTAATCTTTAAAGGAGGCCTACACAATCCAGGATGCCTTAATTCTACATGTACTAGCTATTATTTCACTTTTGCAATAATTATTTTAGAAATACAATTACCGATTGCTTCGAAAAGTGTCTAAAATTCATTTAAGTTTAAGAAATAAAGTAACTTGCTGATATTAAGAGTATTTTCTCCTCCGCAGAACTGTTATCTTCGTCGCATTAGGGCAACTGAAATATTGGCGGGTGCGCAAGGACAGATAAAACTAGAATAACGGAATAATAAATATTAACTCATAAGAAATATTGATTTCTTCTTTCGGAATTTTGGTTTGCGGCGATTAAAGCTTATTAAATTGGGAGTCATAAATATGTATCTTTTTTTTTTTAAATTTAAAAGAGATGACACCATTTGCAGGAACGTCCATATTTTGCGAATGCCATCGCAGTTGATACCTTTTAGCAATAATGAATATGTAATGGTAAAATTGTGTGTGTGTGGGTGGGAACAGACTGGAGAGGGATGCATATAAGGGTTCCGTGCGTGCGAAGGGGGTGTCATGCAACTTCCGCTTCGGAAATGTTCTCCGGTAATTGCAGTTAATGCCCAGGTGTATTCCTGCATTATCAGAAAACCGCGGCAAATTGTCCATTTTTCACCACACACATTCACATATACACACAACTGAGTCTGGGAATCGTCCGTTAAATTGGAATACTTTTTCGGTTGACTTTGTAGATGCACACATGTTTTAATATAAATTTAACTGGAAGGCACATTTTGCATTGATTTTCGAAATTATCGGAAAACGTTATTAAGAAGAAGTCCTTCAAACAATTTTAATATGAAACAATAATTTTTTCCAATATAATTACTATAGATTTATACTACTCAACTAAACCAAACTAACGAAAACTATCTTTATCTATCTAAATTACTAACTTTACTTACCTATACTGGGAACTTCGGTGATACGCTATGGGACGGTTAATTAGCGAACATTTGAAAATACTAAAATTCAATGGGAATCATCTGCCTAAAATATTTTCAAAAACTGATTTTAGTAGTCACGCTGATCAATAATTAATGAAATTATTTTGTGACTGTGCGAACATCTTCTCGTTCATTGGCTGTAAATCAGAATTTTATTTATTTATACAATTTGTTAATCTTTCGGAATGTCCTTGTTCCACCACATTCGTCATGAAAAATAAACACATTGATCGATATATTTATTGATTAGTTCTCCCCTAATGATCTTTTCTGAGACAATTATAGCTTTTAATAATAAACATTAATCTGTAATTTTTTCTAAATAATGCAATGTTCACAGAAACTTGCTTTTATTTCGGATTTGTTTATAATTGAATATATATATATATATATATATATATATATATATATATATATATATATATATATATATATATATATATATATATATATATATATATATATATATATATATATATATATATATATATATATATATATATATATATATATATATATAGTATATTCAATTATAAACAAATCCGAAATAAAAGCAAGTTTCTGTGAACATTGCATTATTTAGAAAAAATTACAGATTAATGTTTATTATTAAAAACTATAATTGTCTCAGAAAAGATCATTAGGGGAGAACTAATCAATAAATATATATATATATATATATATATATATATATATATATATATATATATATATATATATATATATATATATATATATATATACATATATATATATATATATATATATATATATATATATATATATATATATATATATATATATATATATACGTATTGATTCACGGATGGAAAAATGTGATGACACTATATTCCGGGATATCATCCGTTCGCTCGTTGAACTCCGACTGGAATCCTGCATCCGACTGGAATCCTGCAGACGTTTCACCAAAATCTCACTTGGCATCTTCAATGCTCGCGCTCCGAAAACACTTCGTCTGCAGGATTCCAGTCGGAGTTCAACAAGCGTGCAGGATTCCAGTCGGATGCAGGATTCCAGTCGGAGTTCAACAAGCGAACGGATGATATCCCGGAATATAGTGTCATCACATTTTTCCATCCGTGAATCGATACGTGAATATATATATATATATATATATATATATATATATATATATATATATATATATATATATATATATATATATATATATATATATATATATATATATATATATATATATAATATACTATATAAATATATCCTTTGATGGTGTTTTGGATTGAATCTAAAAATACGAAATTTTCATTAGTTTTGTTCTCTCGTGTATAACCGCACATTTTGGACGACACTGAATATTACAGAGCGAACGTAGAACTATTCGTGAACTATATAAAAAATTTTAGGTTTCTAGGAAATAAAATATGGTTATAATAAAGAATTAATTGAAGCTGTTTTGAACAAAAAAATGGGAAAAAGAATTACTTTCTCGAAAACCGCTAAAGATAGGTACTAGACAAGTATTATAAAAAAAATAATCAAAAATTGAAAGCGGAACTGATAATCCTATAATATGAAAAGTTGATGCTTCTTTTTCGAAGAAGTAGCAACATTCCATCACTGAAAATATATTAGAATTATTTGCAACTAATCCACTATTGCTACCGACCTCAAATATTGTTTATTGTATGGTATCGTTTTTATTGACTTAATATCAGTTTGAAGAAATTTTTATTTGCCAATTTCTTTACTTCTAAAGTTACGAAGATAATTAAATTAGTGGGGTTATAGTATTTTTTCCACTAACTGAAATGGTTGTAGTGTAAAATGGAACATTTTGCTTTCGATTTAAAAAAATATTTTTTTTTAAACAACGGGACATCAACGATAAAAGAGCTATTTCACTTTTATATAGTGAAATTCGAGGTAAATAATAGATAAATCGGTGGCATTAGTTATTTAAATGTATTTCTTGTGTTTCTTTGAAAATCATTGCGATAACATCCAACATTTTGAAATGGCAATGAAAAATATCATATTCGAACATCTAAAATAACATTTAATAATAAACAATGCCATCGATTCGCTTTATTTTGTTTTATTTTAAGAGATATATGTCCAATCAACATTCACATGCGCAACATTTAAAATTTCATTTCATACTTATAAGCTTATTTTTGATTTAAAAAAAACCTACTAACTATATTGAAGAAAGAATTCAACTTAAAGGCCCATTTAAAAAAGTACCTACCATTTTTAAAAACAATTTCGCAACGCCCTGTGATATTTTTATTTCCAGCGGAAAGTATCGGATTCACCATACAAATCTCTCGTCGCATACCGTATATCTTCCACATGGCTATCATTCGACCTCAGACGTCAACTTTTTTTATCAAATAATTATCGAACTGCTAAGTGGCTGTTATTTCTGGCCGAATCGTGAAACCTAATAAGTGGGAGTGGGCAAGATGTTCTGAATAATAATACACTACGCCCCTTAAAACCATACATCTGATTGCGCGGTTATTTTCCTAATGTAATTTTTTTTTCATTTTGGGTTTCAGAAAACATACCAATGGACTTTGACCAAACTGCAAGAATGTTGAAATAACAGGTGAGTAACTTTCAAAATTCTTTTTGTTTTTCAAAAAAACTCCCAAGCAACCATGAAGACGGCTGTTTATTAAAAAAGAAACTACCGCAAAAAATATGGAATGATACATATCTTTAAATTTAATAATAAGCAATATAAATATAATGTAGATGTCATATAATCAATCAGTAGTTAGCAATTCAAGTCTTATTAACAAGATATTGGTTGTTGGACAGGGAAGGTACATACTTCTAATTTATCCATATTTTGGAAACTAGTTAAACAATATAATAAAATTATGCACATGATTTAACAAAAATATTATCCACAATCTAAAGCCAATTTCTAAAATTTGTGTTGACGAGTAGTGGAGATGTAATTGTACTTTTTTTTTAATTGAATGTAGAATATATATCATAATGTCTATTTTTTTTATTAGCTCCTCTAAAAAATCGGATAGTGTCAAATTTGTTGTTGTAAGGCTCTTTTGTCAGCCGAATTGTGTTCGAATATCGGAATGAAATTTTACATCCTTTCTTAATTTTAAAGAATTGGAAATAATTTGATAGACGAATCCAAAAACCATGACCATTACAACGACACAATGGCCTAAATCCCAATTTCTGATTTTAATTTTTTATCATTCCCGTTTTTAAATTTGTAGAAACAAAATTTTGAAATGTCCAAAAATTCATGAAAATTTATGTTATTGTAAAATGTTTAACCTAAATGCAAAACTTTGAAATTCGCCACTCGTTAGCCTACAACGTCTATCTATGGCGTCAAAATAACCTAAAATGTTAGTAATCAGTTTGCATAACATTCCCAAAATTGACACTCCTAATGGTGGAAAAAATAAAGAAGACAGTGAGACTTACTTTATATACGCACTGTTGATAATTCTATTTTTGCCCTATGTTCACAATTTCTATTATTGCTATTTTGTACTGATTTCCATATTGAAAGTCAAAATTAAAACTTTTTGTATTGGAGAGAAGAAAATGTAATAAACATTGCTCGATTGTGTCCACGCCGTGTTATTTTTAACAATTTTTAAGTGGGCAACGCCGATAACAAGAGCGACAAGAAAAGAAGTTACAGACAAGATAAAAACCAACAACGAAAGGAAACGGAAGTTTTATCGCTCTAATTTTTAATTAAACGAACATGTTTCTTACAAAGCCTTATCGTTTCTTTGCAGCGTTTCGTTACCACACACATCTAGGTTCTGTTGATTTACCAGATGGAATTAAAAACAAAACGACAATTATATTACTAGAAACAGAGGTCGTACGATAGATACTTGAGTTCCGTATTCCCAATACATCGTTATTGCTAAACACCGTTTCACCGTAACTTCGATCTTCAATCGACAAATAATTACAGTCGAAAGAAACCATTGAAAACCTCGAGCACTCATTCCTGCGGCGTCGTAAGTCCTATTCACCTGTTATTCTCATTGGCCGCGGTCTTCGCGTGACAATGGGCGGAGCCCGATCAAGACGCTGATAGCCTCGGCAATATCCCTAAGTTACTTCTTTTGTTAAACCTCCGGGCAATGCGGTTTTATCGGCTCTAAGCATCTGTCCGTAATGTACCGCGGCTCTATTATGGATTGAAACGTCAATAATCGGTCGCTATGAGGAATTTGGAATAATTACAAATAATGTCAAATATCAATTCCACGAAATGGAATAGAGGAGCAACATAAAAGACAGAATTTAATTTGCGGTAATACTTATTAACTAGGTGCTTAGTGTGAATATATCAATATAACAACAATTAAAAATTGAAAAATGTCGATTTATAAGTATGTAACTCAAAAAACTAATTCCAATTAACCATTTAGCATAAACGTTTATTATTCAACTTGTCAAGTAAAACCAACGTTTCTTGAAAAAAAAACGGAGTCCGCGGTCCAGATAAGTTTGTCGCTTTTTAATAAGTGTGAAATTTTTGCGCACTAAGAATTCTTGACAATGAACATTAGCCTCGCCTCCAGTTCTCTAGCTATCAGTATAGTACAGACATGAAGATTTTTTGAACAAAGATCTGTTTTTCAGTGCATTGACATTGGAGTCTCTGTATGTCTGATGATGCCTGTGTGGACGAAGCTGGTGTAATATTTTGAAAATGATAAGTTTTTAGACTTTGACTTGGGAGTGTTTTTGACTCTTTAGAGTTTTGTGAAACCGGTTCTCTTCGAGTATGGACTATAACATTGTTTCAGTTTTGCTTGCGATATGGGTCGTAAGTCACGGTGGATATCTTTTTCAAATTCCCATAGTACAATTAATTCAATCTTTTGAATTTTAGTAATATAGGGTATGACAAAGTAAATTTTTAATGCAGTGGGAACCTAAAAAAATCACACAGATAATTTTGTTGTTGGATGAAATAAAATATCACACGACATATATTTAGAAAAAAAAAGTAATAAAGCATGAGATAAAAACCTGAGATTCCAAAGTAACCTATAAGCTCTTGTAATGTTCAACAATCAGAATGCCAGCTTACAGTTCATCAATTTAGCTGCCATATTGATTGTTGGATTATAAAAGTCTTAGAGTCCGCAGTTCAACTATTTGAGAGAATAGAGTTCCGGATTATGAATTGATTATTTTAATAATTTAAATTTGGAGACTCCGTCAACACAGCTCTTAATTTTAGAAAATAGGAAACTTTGTCAGAATTCACGGCGAAAAATTCAGATTCATTTGCTTAAAATTCATATCAAGACGGAATTATCAAAAAAAGGTTTTATGTTACTCAACGTCCCCACCGCTATAATATGCCTCGTTTTGAAGTCGTTTTCAAAAAATTAACAAGTCGGGAATGCGTTTTACCTTTAAAGAAAAAAAATCAAATAAAATAGATTGTTTAAAATTTTAAAAAATCCAAAAAACAAATATTTAATATTACTTTTAAAATTTTACTTGAATTGTAACACATTTGATTAGAGATATTTTCTATAGCCATAGAAAAATGGCTTAAACAAGAAGTAGCTTGTCGTTTTCTATTTTCAAGCTATACTAAAAATTTCAGTTTATTATTAATGCGATAATTATCGATATTGTTTGTTTTTCAAATTACAAAAATGATATTTACAAATCCTCTAAGCACTTTGTGGTTTTACTTTTCTTTTCTAAAATCAATGTTGATAACCAGACCATTGGTATAAATTTCATCTTGACATCAAATTTATGGACCGTCAATAAAGTGGTAAGTCATCGTTAACTTTCGATTTGGATAGTTTAAGAATTTCCTAACTCGAACAAAGGTGTAAACAAGATATATTAGGACAGTCTTGTTGACACTATTAATACAACTGGCTTGTGAACAATTTCGTCGGCTTGCGGCAGCAATTAATCCCGAGACTTTTGAATAATGCGCCCAAAGGCGCGGGAAAACGATCATTAGCCTGAAAGCTCCCACATAAACAGGGATCGTAAGGAAACGACAAAGGTTGTGAACTTGGCTTTGAGCATCCGCATCTCGGAGCTATCAGTTCCTTAAGTTATTGAGAAAGTTTACTTCAATAGTTGCTCTTTATTATTGCAAGTTTGAGTAGACAGGGAGAAATTTTAACTGCCACAAACGCAAGTCAATTCCACCATGATTGTGGTGCAGTCAAAGGTTAAAAAAAAACAATATTCCGAATAAATAACAACACGTTAATAAAAATCAAAGACGAAAAGAACATAGTCGAAACACAAAAATCAATGGATGTAAATACCATGTTCATTAATCCAATTCCAATAAATTAATAACTAATGTCTGTCTGATCTCTTTTCAGAGTTCTGTGTACAAGAAAAAAATTGATTTTAAAATTTTCATGTGTGACAGGCAGGCAACATATAAATTTCTTTTTTCTATATGAAATTGTTAACAGATTAAACAGAAATAACAGGTTAGTTGGTAACAAATCTAATCTACAAACGGTACGCAAAGTGGGATAATTTTGCATAACCTCCAAAACTAAAAATAAAATCATAATTTCGGAAAATTTTTGATCGAATCGTACCCCTCGAAAATAGTGCAAGTGGTGACGATTGGTCAGACATCGAGAGAGGTTATTAAAGTGAACGCGTAACTGTTATGACCGCTATCAGTTTTAAACTTATATTGCTAATGTATGATGTAGCGTTATAAAAAACGTATTAGGTGCCGAAGAACTCAACTCAAAAATAATTTCCCTTTTTACAAGTCTTTCAAAAATATATAACCGAATAAATCTTAATATACAGTGACAAAAATCCCAATTTCTATAAGTCGCATTCAAAATTTTGCAGTACATATTAATTCTCATTTTTACGGTATACTTGCAGTCAAATTCCAGTGCACAAATTTTGCTAATAGTCCCTTTATTACCTATCTTATTTATGCAAATCAGATTAAGATGTTCTATTAAACATATATACAGTATACAAGGTGCTTTTTTATTTATACTTACTTGCCTACTAAACCTACATTTTGTTTTTATTTTTAGTTATGTTGATATTTTTAAAAGACGTCTATATGTAAAGTCGAATATTTCAGCGACTTATTTGGTCAACTATAAAGTGAGAGATAATGTGAAGTCCCAAACTACAAGTTCACAAAAGAATCGTTTACAACTCAAGGTCACCTCCGCTGACCAACCACCGATATCAATTTCTCAAAATTAGCCGCCGTTGTGTTTAACCACGCTTATTGAAAACCGACAATACACATTGGAAAACAACAATTATCGAACAATATCGCGAAACCCGATATCTTGCCAAATGTCCGTTGCGCATTTTTTGTTTTCCTCGCAAACTCCTTCGATGGGCAGATGCAGATTCGCCTTCGCAAGGTGTCGTTCTTGAAAAGAACCGAAAAGGCGAATATCGAGTTGCAAATACGTCGATCAATCAGCCGTGAGACAGCGATGTTTTTAATTCGCTCTATTAGAAAACATTTAAAGATGTTCCGTTCTTTTCGACAATGAAGATAATTTGGCCTTATTCGATCACGCCACAAAACGTGGGGGCCTCCGCTAT